ATGATTTATAGCTTAGTTTGGGGAAATTATCTCGTTGGTTTCTGCGTTAAAATACTGAATTCAGCCGTTGTGATCGGATTCTATTATGGATTTCTGACTACATTCTCCATAGGACCGTCTTATCTTTTCCTTCTTCGAGGGCAAATCTTAGGAAAGGGATCTGAAACGAAAATATCAGCAACAACCGGGTTTATTACGGGACAGCTCATGATGTTTATATCGATCTATTACGCGCCTTTGCATTTGGCATTGAGTAGACCTCATACAATAACAGTCTTAACTCTACCGTATCTTTTCTTTAATTTTGTCCACAAAAATGACAAACACTACTATTTGGGTTCGGGATCCAAACTGGATTCTGAATACAAGAATCCAAATTCAATACGTCATTTTAGGATTGTTAAAGTATTCTTTAACAATCTTTTTTTTCCAGTTATTAAACCCCTTTCTTTTGCCAAGTTCAATCTTAATAAGATTAATGAACATTTATCTGTTTCGATCCAACAATAAATTGTTATTCTTAACAAGTAGTTTTGTTGGGTGGTTAATAGGTCACATCTTTTTAATGAAATGTATTGGATTGGTATTAGTCTGGTTACAGCACAAAAAGTCGATCAAATATAAGATAACTATGAAATTTGATAAATACATTCTCCTACAATTGCGAAATTATGTGGGGCAAATATTTGTTGTTTTTTCATTTGTTAGCTTTGCACACTATTTAGGCAGAACACCGCTCCCATATTATTATATTGAGGAAATGATGCGATACGATGACAGGGACCTGGAGGAAGTCAAAGCTGCAATAGATTGGGAAAAGGAAGAAACTAACGAAGAAGAAGAAGATATTACTGTTTATCTTTCTGATAAAAAAGAGAATACTTTCAACAAAAAACTCGCCCCGTTGGAAAAATCTCTTGTAACTACTCTTTTCGATTATCGAAAATGGAATAGGCCTTTGCGATATATAAAAAATGATCACTTTGAAAGGGTTGTAAGAGATGAAAATTCACAATTTTTTTTCCAGGTATGTCAAAGTGATGGAAAAAAACGAATATCTTTCACGTATCCACCTCATTTATCTACTTTTCTAAAAATCATGGAAAAAAAAATGGATCTCTTCAGAAGAGATAAAACCTCCTATAATGATAATGAATTGTCTAATTATTGGAGCTCTGTTAATAAAGAAAAAGGAAATAAACTAATCAATGAATTTTTTCAAAGGGCAAAAATGATAGATAATAAATCTATTAAATTTAGTCCTGTGGATGTATTTGAAAATCGAATTAGATTGTCTGATGATAATAGGAAAACAAAATACTTAACTAAAATATATGATCCTTTCTTGAATGGACGCGTTCGTGGAGAAATCCAAAAAGGCTTTTCACCCTTCATTCCAAATGAAACTGACACAACAAACTACATTTTGATAAATAAGATTCATGGTCTCCTTCTTTCTATTAATAGTAATGATCCAGAATTTGAACAGAAAATAGATCAATTTGATAGAAAATTATTATTAAATGAAATTGGTTTTTTTTTTAACTTAATCAGTAAATTTTCGGAAAAATCAGTATCAAGTTTGAATTTTGACGGACTTTATTTATTTCCAGAACATGAACAAGTAAAAATATATTCCGAAGAAAAAAAAACAAAAAGAAAATTATTATTGGACGCAATTCGAACTGATCCTACTAATAATACAATTTTTAATAGAAAACTATGTAGTGAAATAAACGAAATAAGTAAAGAAGTTCCTCGATGGTCATACGACTTAGTCGATGAATTGGCGGTATTGATGGACGCGAGTCCAAAGGAGTCTCAGATTCGTTCCCCAAAAGCTGACCGTATAGTTCTTTTTAATAGTAAAACAGATTCTAATGACAATCAGAATAGTGCTGAACCGGACAGAAATACTGAATTTGCTGTAGTTCATTATTCACGCGAACCAGATTATTGCCGAGACCTAATCAGAGGATCTATGCGCCCTCAAAGGCGTAAAACAGTAACTTATAAACTCTTTCAAGGAACTGCACACTCCCCTCTTTTTTTGGAGATAATGGGCGACTACGCGTTCTTGTTTGGTGATCTTGTCTATGATATCTCCCAATATTTGAAAGAATATTTCAGGAAACCGGGTACTGATAATTCGGAATTTTTGGCGTTTGAGAAAACGATAGAACAGAAAGAGATAGAGGAAAACAAAGACGAGTCTGAAATAAGACTTAGACAAATCGAAGAAGCCTGGGAGAGCATTCTCTATGGTCTAATAATCAGAAGTTTTGTATTACTATTCCAATCAATATTTAGAAAATATATTCTATTACCTTCATTGATAATCACAAAAAATATCATTCGTATACTATTATTTCAAAATCCTGAATGGTCAGAAGATTTGAGGGATTGGAGAAAAGAAGTCCATATTTACTGCACCTATCAGGGCGTTCCAGTATCTCACACCGCGTTGCCAACAAACTGGTTCTGGGAGGGTATTCAGATAAGGATCTTATTCCCTTTTGTTCTGAAACCGTGGCACAATAAGGTACGATCTACTGAGAAAAAAAATCTACTGAAAAAAAAAAGATCCACTGAAAGAAAAAAACTTATGGTTTTTAACAGGTTATGGAACACAAGTCGAATCGTACCTTGATGATCATGTCCCAAACCCTTTTTTATTTTTGGGTCCCATTTTTAAAAAAATAAAAAAACAATTGAAAAAAGATTTGAAAAATTGTTTTTTTCTAGTTCTAAAAGTTTTTAATGAAAGAAAAAAGGGGTCTCGAATCGTGTTAGAAGAAATCGAAAATAGGTTCAAAAAAAGAGATGAATTGAGTGAAAGCAAAAAAAAATTCAACAATCAGTAAGAGTAATCCAATGATTGAGGAATCGCCCGTTCTAATTCAATCTATGAATTGGACAAATTTCACAGAAAAAAGGATAAAAGATCTTAATGTTAAAACAAAGACAATCTTAAAACAACTAGAAAAAATGACAGAAGAAAAAAAAGAGGGGGTTATAACTTTAGAGATTAATTTGAATTCTACCAAAACTACTTATGATGCTAAAAGATTAGAATTACTAAAAAATAGTTTGAAAATATTAAAAAGAAGAACCGTTCGATTAATCCGTAAATCCTATTTTTTTTTTCAAATTTTAATGGGAAGGATATACATAGAGATCGTTTTCTCTATCACTCGTATTATTATGATGTCTGGACAACGTTTTCTTAATATTATTGAATTAACAGACAAAATTGTAAATGTATTTATTTCCATTTACACTAAAAAAAAATGAACAAAGAGTTCATAAAACAAATGAAAGTATAATTCCATTTATGTCGATTATAGACAAATCTTGGAATATTACAGATATGAATTCACAGAATTCTTGTGATGTATCTTCTTTGTCACAAGCCTATGTATTTTTTAAATTATCACAAGTTAGTAATGGATATAAATATAAGTTAAGATCTATTTTTGAATCTCATGGAAGATCTTTGTTTCTTAAGAATGAAATAAAAGATTATTTTTTTAGAATACAAGGAGGAAGATTAAATTCCAAATTAAGACATAAGAACCGTCCCGATTATATAATGAATCAATGGATAAATTGGTTAAAGGTTCATTATCAATATGCTTTACCTCAGAGCGGATGGTCAAAATTAGTACCACAAAAGTGGAGGAAGAGAATCCATGAACATCGCGTGGCTCAAAAGAAAAATTTAGTTGAATATGATTCATCTGAAAAAAACCAATTCATTTTTTACAAAAAACAAAAAAAACAACAAGTAGATTTATTAGAAAAAAAAAACAATATGGATATGATCTTTTCTCCTATCAATATATAAATTATGCAGATAACAAAAAATCCTATATTTATGGATATAAATCACCATTGCAAGCAAACAAAAACCAAACGATTAATTACAACATACCTAAAAATAAAAAAGAATTATTTGATATAATGGGCGATAGCTTTATCCAAAATTATATAGCAGAAGATGGTATTATAGATATGGATATGGAAACAATGGAAAAAAATCTGAATAGAAAGTATCTAAATTGGATGGGAAAAAGAAAAAAGAATTCCAAAACGAATCAGAAATTATTGACTCCGAGATTTGGGTTCTTTTCAAAATTAAGTGCATATAAGAAGAATCCTTGGATCTTACCAATGAATTTCTTTTTTGTGCAGTTTTATGGAAACAAAAACATTACTGATGTAGCCAAGTTAAAGTTAGAAAAGAAAGAATACGGGAAGCAAGCAGATCTCAAATCATATCTCTCAAACTATTATAGGGACACTCGGTATAGTATAACTAGATACAGGAAGGATCTAAATGGCGAACAAAATTTCTTACTAGATAAATATTTTGGTTTTTATTTGCACTGTAAGACTCCCGTCCAAGAAACACTAATGGATAATATCAACTTATATTGTCTCCTGGTTAGATTGAAAAATCTAAAACAATTTTTCATAATGTCTATAAAAAAGGCAGACCTCGATTTTGAAATTACGGCGCGTCTGCAGATGAAGGACACTTGTTATACAGAATGTAGGGACACAGAGGAATTGAGGGACAACCTAATGTTTTTTATTGAACCTATTCATATTTCTAGAAAAAACTATGAACAATTTTTTATATATCAAACCATAAGCATATCATTGAGGCACAAACGTAAAATTTTGAAAAGAAACTATGATTTACTTGTTCCTGAAAATCTTTTGTCCACTAGACGCCGTAGAGAATTGAGAATTCTAATTTGTTTGAACCCACAGAATAGAAATACTGTGCATAGAAACACAATAAATGACACTGAGAAAAAACGAAATAATTCTTCTGAAGTTTTGACTCAAAATGAAGATATTGATAGCGATACAAAAAAACTAATGACTTTAAAATTCTTTCTTTGGCCAAATTATCGATTCGAAGATTTAGCTTGTATGAACCGCTATTGGTTTGATACACATAATGGAAGCCGTTTCAGTATATTAAGAATACATATGTATCCTCGATTGAAAATCTAGATTTTTGTTCTATTTATCATTATCATAATATTTCAGATATCTATCTGATATCTGATATGTGAACATATATATATATATATATATATATATATATATATATATATATATATATATATATATATATATATATATTTATTTATTTATATATATATATATATATATATATATATATATATATATATATATATATAAATAAATATTTATTTATATATATATATATATATATATATATATATATATATATATATATATATATATATATATATATATATATATATATATATATATATATATATATAATATATATATATTTATATATAATTGATAATTGCAATAAATAAAATAAACGCGCACACGCATTGTGGGATTGATACGACTTCAATGATGTCTCCATTAGATAGAAATAAATCAATAGAAAAATGAATAAATCAAAATTGTCTTTTTATTTTTATTTTTTAAATACAAGACAATAGAATTTTTTATTTTTTGAATACATAAATATAGTATTTATTCTCTATTTGAATTACATTCCTTAATAAGGAATTTGAAAAAAAAAATTCAGAATTGTAAAAATTGTTAAATAAATTAAGGTAAAATTTGATATAAAAAATTCAAAATGAGTGTCATTACTATTACTGATCAATAAAAATATCTACCAAAAAGGAGGGGGAAAGAAAAGCTTTCATTTTATGATAAAAAATTCATTTATACCTGTTATTTCACAAAAAAAAAAAGAAGAAGAAAACCCGGGAATGGTTGAATTTCAAGTATTCAACTTCACTAATAAAATACAAAGACTTACTTCACATTTTAAATTACACCCAAAAGACGATTTATCTCAAGGAGGTTTACGTATAATTCTGGGAAAACGGAAACGACTATTGTCGTATTTGTCAAAGAAAAAAAAATACGTTATCAAAATTTAATAAATCGGTTGGGTATTCGGGATTCACAAATTAGGTAATTTAAAGAATCATTTTCAATTATTCGATTTATTAGATACTGAATTTTGATGAACTTTTTTTTTTGAACGATTCATGGAAGAATGAATCGAGGAAAAACCTATGAATATCCCAGCTACAAGAAAAGACCTCATGATAGTAAATATGGGGCCTCAACACCCATCGATGCATGGTGTTCTTCGACTTATTGTTACTCTGGATGGTGAAGATGTTATTGATTGTGAACCAATATTGGGTTATTTACACAGAGGTATGGAAAAAATAGCAGAAAACCGAACAATTATACAATATCTGCCTTATGTAACACGTTGGGATTATTTAGCGACTATGTTCACAGAAGCAATAACTGTAAACGGGCCGGAACAATTGGGAAATATTCAAGTACCTAAAAGAGCCAGCTATATACGAGTAATTATGTTGGAGTTAAGTCGTATAGCTTCTCATCTACTATGGTTGGGACCTTTTATGGCAGATATTGGTGCACAAACCCCTTTTTTCTATATTTTTAGAGAAAGAGAATTAATATATGATCTATTCGAAGCTGCGACAGATATGAGAATGATGCATAATTTTTTTCGTATTGGGGGGGTAGCCGCTGATCTACCTTATGGTTGGATAGATAAATGTTTTGATTTCTGCAATTATTTTTTAACAAGGGTTATTGAATATCAAAAACTTATTACGCGAAATCCAATTTTTTTAGAACGGGTTGAAGGAGTAGGTTTTGTTGGTAGAGAGGAAGTTATAAATTGGGGGTTATCAGGACCGATGCTTCGGGCTTCCGGAATACAATGGGATCTACGTGAAGTTGATAATTATGAGTGTTACGAGGAATTGGATTGGGAAGTTCAATGGAAAAAAGAAGGAGATTCATTAGCTCGTTATTTAGTTCGAATTGGTGAAATGGTGGAATCCATAAAAATAATTCAACAGGCTTTGGAAGGAATTCCAGGGGGGCCTTATGAAAATTTTGAAATCCGCTGCTTTGATAGAGAAAAGGAGCCAGAATGGAATGATTTTGAATATCGATTCATTGGTAAAAAATCGTCTCCTACTTTTGAATTGCCGAAACAAGAACTTTATGTGAGAGTTGAGGCCCCCAAGGGAGAATTAGGAATTTTTCTAATAGGAGATCAGAATGGTTTTCCTTGGAGATGGAAAATTCGTCCACCTGGTTTTATCAATTTGCAAATTCTTCCTCAATTAGTTAAAAGAATGAAATTGGCTGATATTATGACAATACTAGGTAGCATAGATATCATTATGGGAGAAGTTGATCGTTGAAATGAGAATTGATACAACGGAAGTCCAAGATATAAACTCCTTTTCCGGATTGGAATCTTTCAAAGAGGTCTATGGAATTCTATGGATACTTGTACCAATTTTGATTCTTATCTTGGGAATCACAATAAGTGTACTAGCAATTGTATGGTTAGAAAGAGAAATATCAGCAGGGGTACAACAGCGTATTGGACCTGAATACGCTGGTCCTTTTGGAATTCTTCAAGCTCTAGCAGACGGAACAAAACTACTATTCAAAGAGAATCTTATTCCATCTAGGGGAGATATTCGTTTATTCAGTATTGGACCATCCATATCAATAATATCAATTCTAATAAGTTATTCAGTAATTCCCTTTGGCTATAACTTTGTTTTATTTGATTTCAAGATAGGTGTTTTTTTATGGATTGCTATTTCGAGTATTGCTCCCATTGGACTTCTTATGTCAGGATATGGCTCAAATAATAAATATTCCTTTTTGGGTGGTCTACGAGCTGCTGCTCAATCGATTAGTTATGAAATACCATTAACTCTATGTGTCTTATCAATATCTCTACGTGCGATTCGTTGAAACCAAAAAAGTTATTCGATGCTATTGCTATGCTCCTCTCTTTATAGTAATATATAGGAAAGGAGGCGAATCAATTGAATAGAAACCTTCATTATCTTTATTTTTCTCCGATTGAAGAACTAAATTAGATAGTTATATGAGTGAAATAAAACAGCTTATATTGAATAGAATTTCAGAATACTTTCTTACTTCTAGTTAATAGATAGTATGATGATTTTTAATGGCAGTAAAAATATTGAGTCTCACTTTCTATGTATAAGAATGAAATAAAATTATAAACAGAAGAGGCCATTTAACCCAAGATTGGATAATTTGTCATCCTGTTTTGAAGCGGGCTCTAAAGACCAACCTTATTGAGTTTTAGTTACCATTTTTATGAATTCTCATAGATATATTAAAATAAATAAGGGGGATTAATAAAAAAGAGTGGATGGTTAGAAACACCAAGATACACAAAGGATTAGTAACACAGATTTTGTAAATTATCCAAAAGACAATTTACACAGAATATAAAAAGAATACTAATTGGGGCTTTAAGTTGGTAGAAAAAATAAAGCAGTACTCCCCACAACTCCGATCCAGAGTATGCTTCCATCAACTCATTAAATAAATTACTATCAGGAACGAAAAAATCCATTAAAATTTTTTAAGTCCCTTTTTCATAGCACAAAAAAGAAGAATAGGAACGAAAAAAAAAACATAAGAAATCAAAAACGAAAGAGAAATCTATTTTTCGTTTTTGATTTCTTATATCCATATCCATATTCATGGAGATCAAATCATAATTAAGAAACGAATGTTTAATTCTTTTTCGTAATTCAAAATCATGAGGGCTATTGAGAATTATAAAAGAGTATTTTATTGAAGAATTCAGTTATTACTCAACAAATTTTTATTTTTGAGGGATGAGATCAATTCAGAAGTGCCTTACATTGGATCTTTTATTAAACTATATTTCTCTTTCTTATTTCGTTATTTCTAGAACAGACAGAATTGAATTGGTCTAATTCAGAACCGTTCGATCTATTTTCATCTTCTATATCTTAGGGATATAGCAAGAGAGAAATAATTGACCCGGTCCTTAGATTTACTTAAGGCTTTCCAGGAGCCTATGAGGTGAAAATTTCATGTACGGTTCTGTAATAGAGATGGGAACAATAATGTTATAACCGACTAGGATTATCTAACAGTTTAAGTACAGTTGATATAGTTGATGCGCAAGCAAAATATGGTTTTTGGGGTTGGAATTTGTGGCGTCAACCTATGGGTTTCATCGTTTTTCTAATTTCTTCGCTAGCAGAATGTGAAAGATTACCTTTTGATTTACCAGAAGCAGAAGAAGAATTAGTAGCTGGTTATCAAACAGAATACTCAGGTATTAGATTTGGTTTATTTTACGTTGCTTCCTATTTAAACCTTTTAATTTCTTCATTATTTGTAACAGTTCTTTACTTGGGCGGTTCAAATATCTCTATTCCGTACATATTTGTTTCTGAATTTTTTGAAATAAATAAAACATACGGAGTTTTTGGAACTACAATTGATCTCTTTATTACATTAGCTAAAAGCTATTTTTTCTTATTTGTTTCTATCATAACAAGATGGTCTTTGCCTAGGCTAAGAATGGATCAATTATTAAATCTTGGATGTAAATTTCTTTTACCTATTTCTCTCGGTAATCTATTATTAACAACTTCGTCTCAATTGTTTTCGCTGTAAAAGATGGATCTTCTATATTCATTACTTGTCTCAAATAAGAGAAAGAAATAAAACAAAACTATTCATAGATATTTACGATATGTTCCTTATGGTAACTGGGTTCATGAATTATGGTCAACAAACAGTCCGAGCTGCAAGGTACATTGGTCAAAGTTTCATGATTATCTTATCTCACGCAAATCGTTTACCTGTAACTATTCAATATCCTTATGAAAAATTAATCACATCAGAACGTTTCCGCGGTCGAATCCATTTTGAATTTGATAAATGCATTGCTTGTGAAGTATGTGTTCGTGTATGTCCTATAGATTTACCCGTTGTTGATTGGAAAATGGAAACGGATATTAGAAAGAAACGATTGCTAAATTACAGTATTGATTTCGGAATCTGTATTTTTTGTGGTAACTGTATTGAGTATTGTCCAACAAATTGTTTATCAATGACTGAAGAATATGAACTTTCAACTT